AAAACGCTGCCATACGGCTCTGATGCAAAGTATGGCACTCTTCTTTAACGGTTCTTGGATAGCAAGTCCTCCAACTATGGAGAAAGGACTTTATCGTTTGTCAAATTTTTTGAGGTAAGCCGGGAAATAAACGGTACAGGACGTAGATTGAGGTGACCTAATTGATTTTTCGCCAAAGTGCTTTGTCAGGTCAACTAGCAAGTAAAAGTGGTTGTTGTGCGTGGCGATGCCGCTACTCGCATCTCCTCAACCACGTGGCGTTCAGACAACGTTCAAACTTCGCGGTGATGCGCGTAGACCCGCTACAAATGCAACATCACTCCAATGGTATGGACGCGAACGCAGCTGCATACGGGAATCGATCGGAGCCGATTTAGAGAGTGTGGGGTATGCTTTGCCTTAGCTAATGGTAGCGCGTTGACGCGCGTCATCGCGAAGTGTAAACGCTGCCTTAGCGGTTTAGAGTTGTAAAATTTGAATTCATCTTGCTACAGGAAGCGACTGGAACAATTTCTATTTCACTTTATTCTTCGAAATTATAAACTAAAATAAAGGGAAGAAGGTTTATTTCAAAGTGATTAGATATGTGTTTCTTTTTCTTAATTGTCAACCGCTTCAGTGTGATCATTGAGGAGGTTGTTGCCCGGAGCTGGGACCCGATCCAGGACCGGCGAGGGCCGATGGCGGTTGACTGTCGCTTGATTTTCCACCTTCTGTCTGCTTTTTATCCTGCGGATCCTTTGGTTCCTTTGGTCCCTTTGGTTCTTCCGTGCCCTTGAGATCGTTTTCTTTGGGTGTCGGCGCTGTCATCTCTTCCTTCTTGTCATCCTTTATTTGCCCAACTTCTTTCAAATCACTCTTCGGCTTTTCTTTTGCTTCTTCAGTTTTGTCTTTCGGTGTAGGGGCAATCTTTTCTTTGGACAGCGGGACAATCTTCGGTTTCGGTACCGGAACAACCTTTTCTTTAGACGGTGATGGTATCTCCTTTGATTTGCCGTGTACTTTCTTTTCCTTTAGCTTAGCCTGCTTAATCTCTTCGTCAGTTTTTCTCAACTTCTTTTTCTCTTTTTGTTCTTCATCTGTTTTCTTCAATTTCTTGTCACCCTTCACTTTGACTTCTTCGTCCGTTTTCCTTTTCTTGACTTCCTCGTCCGTTTTCCTTCTCTTGACTTCCTCGTCCGTTTTCCTTCGCTTGATTTCCTCGTCCGTCTTTCTTTTCTTGACTTCTTCGTCCGTTTTCTTTTTCTCCTTTTTTGCATCTTTTTTGAAGTCGTCAAGCGATTCGTCAAATTCAAGAGGCCCACGGAGAATTTCTCCTGATAATCTCACACCGAGTTCACGTAATTTTTCGTCTTCCTTTTTCTGAATACCGAACCGCTCGAAAAGCTTCTTGTCCATTTCGGTCATTGTCAATTCCGTTGGCAATTCTATTCGTTTTTCTATGTCTGTACTACCGGCCGTATGTTCGGACGAGTCTCTCCTTCCTTCCTCTTCCAGCGGTGGGAACTGCTTGACTGTCTCCTTCTGTAATGAAAGTTCATCAAGCCAAAAAACGGGGGATCGAGTGGGAATCACTCTTCCAACCTATTCTTTATCCTAGGAGTCTTGGGGGATAAAGGGCAATGACGGGTTGCAGTAGGGGTGTCGGCGAGTACAGATTTACAGTCTTATTCGTCGCAGATGCTGGGGCGGAGACTCGTAACTGTTGTACAGTCTTGTTCCAGCGACTAGGTCTGGCGCGGCACCAGCCCGTTTTCTACCTATCGTGGGCTCTTGCAAGCTTCCACGATGGAGGAGAACCTTGGGGCCGCGCCGAACCTATCCCTCCTTCCCTGCTCTGACACGCCCCAGCCTTCGCCGTGAACAAGACTGAAATGGCAGATTTATATCCATTTTGGAACACCGTTACTCACCCGCTTCTTCTTCTTTGGAGGCGGAGCCGAGTTCACCTTGATAGGATCACTTTTGAAAAATTCCGCTGCATTCTCCCAGGCGTACGGTCCTTTCAAACGTTTTTGCTGGAATGTATTTCAGTTGTTTTTGTAATCTACTCAGGTCCAGTTGATTTTTTGATTGGAAGAACGACTTCCAACAGATTTTTTGGCACTATCCTTACCCTTTCTTGCCCACTTTTTCGATTATGGTGGGCGGAGACTCATAAACATCTCATCTTGTACAGTCTTGTTTTCTGTGGATGGTAGAACTGATGGAGAGCGGCTTGGCGCCACCGCAAACCCAACCCACCTGACACGCTCCAGCGTCCACCGAAAACAATACTGTAACTTTCCTAACCGGAAAGCCACTCGTAATCACAATATTAGAAGGAATGGTCTGACCGTGAGAAACAGACTAATTGTGTCTCCGCCCACTTTTTTTGTCGCGAAATGTGTCTTTAAGTCATTGTAGATGTTGAGGAGCTTACGATATTTTTGACATATTCTGGCCTTTCCCAATCGTACGGATCCGATGCTTTAGCTCCCACACGTTTCATTACTGCCACTAGACCGTTGTAGAACATCCTGAGAAATCAGACGAGCCGTACAGCCAACTAGAATGCACGAGTTTTGAACTCACGAATAATCAGGTCTTTGATAGTAATTCAGCGTACGTAGATACGGTATAATGCCATGAAGTTCAACTGAAATCATCCTTATTTTAAATCTTGTGATTTGTGAACTACTGACGTGGGCTGTTGCGTAACGGCTTGTTTGAGAGGTCGTGACAGCGAGCAGGTAGGTTACAAATAGGGCACGCCGTGGCGATAAGGATGATTTTCTTCGATGTCCTCCCCACCTTCTACCTCCCACCCCCCCCTATCTAATCTCTGTCGAGCGCATAGGAGCATAAACCTCTCCCTTCCAGCTTTATCCCTGCAAACGAAGTGGCGTGTGAGGGGCGGGAAGGTAGATCGGAGCGCGAACCTTTCTACAATATCGTTCCGAAAACGACCTCCTCTCCCTCTTGAACCCTCGCCATCCCCCCCCCCCCCCCCTGCAAAACCTACGGCCATTATCCCAGCAAACAAAGGGTCATGTGAAGGGACGTTAATTGGAGCACATTTAAGACAGCCTTTTCACCAATTGTAGCGAGCTCAGCATGACATCCATAAGTGGAAAAAGCCATCTTTGGTGCTCCACGCTCCCCCTCTCCCCCCCCTCCAAGACCAGTGGTACTGGATGCTGCTATTGATGGCTACCAACTGATCTAGTTGACAGCGAATGGGAGCATATTCCTCTCCTTCAGCTTTATCCCTGCAAACGAAAGTGGCTTGTGAGGGGAGGGGAGCTAGATCGGAGCGCGAACCTTTCTACAATATCGTTCCGTTCAATTTCGGAAACTTGCTATTGGGACCGCCGCTTCACAACCGCACGCGTCAGTAGTACAGTAGTAGCGCAGCTGATTCTTCTGAGGTACCTGGAAAGTTCAGCACAAGATCCTTATCGTTCATGTTCAGTTTTAGCAACTCGACCTTAACATTACGCAGGTTATGGGCATACTTTCAGCAGTAAGTACTCACCCACCTTTTGCTTGTCACGTAATGTCTGCCATGGAAGTCCACAGTGTAACTCGATAAAAACATAGTAAAGTGACCACAGATCATCACGACGTCCCTTAATCCGTAAAGGTGAGTTTAGTGAAAAATTCCCGAATTACGGCCTTTTCCAGAAATATACCTGTTCCTTCTTTTCGTGCACGTTCGGTGAGCAATATCGTAACGTTCCGCGGAATTCGGCCGTACCTCGTGCTCGTCTTGGAACCCATTTTCCATCTTTCTGAAAGAATTATGCATTCCCATATGGTGGATATGATATTAAGGTTGGAGCTTAGCCTCACAGAAGAGGCAAACTCCAGGGATCCGTACTCGCCTTGGGTCGTAAACAGTAAGTTTTCCAGGCTTTTGGGGTCAAGCTAGCCCTCTCAAATCATTGTACAGCCATGATCCTCCCTACGAGCGATAGGGCGTGTGACGCGGCGTGGATTGCAGCGCAGCCAGTGCGCCCTCTCTGCGGCAGTGATGTCATCCTGAGCCTGATACAGCTGATGGGAAATCCGATCAGGCTGCGCTCCGAGCCATGTCCATGTCTCACTGTGTTTTGCTAAGAAATCGTCACTTATGCAGATAATAGATGACTCGCGTCTGACACTTCCATTCAGATATGATCAGACGGGCGACCACCAACCAGTATTTACTCTACTCGCACTGCTCCCCTTGGAACAGGTACCTCAGGTTCAATTGCTCTTTGGTTCCATCATGGAAAAGTCAAGTTGTGCGAGGAGTGTTTTTGGATGGATAAGTGGAGTTTCTCGCCCATCGTCTATCGGTGTGCTGTAAATGTCATGTCGTTCATATTATGTGGGGCTTGTGGTGGTAGCTATAGTAACTGGCGTGAATGTTGCGAGCAGGATTCATTTCAAAGTGTTGTGTTGAAGCTGTTGAGTCAGTGTAGGACTCTGGAAAGTCGCCAGCAACAATGTGAAGTGTAATCCCACCTTCTCTCGCCCCCCTTTTTTGCACGTCTCTTATTTGCACTGGCATGATGGGTCAGAGATAGGAGGTCAGAGACGGCTAACGCGAGGCGGCCCATACTTGCTCCTGGGCAATAAGTTTTCTAGCTTCCGGGGTCCGCTCAAGGCTGACTTTTCAGAAATCATTGTAAGTGATTCCCCTTTTTCAATAGCTCAGTGCTTCCCAATAGAAGCCGAAGCACCTCCTCCTCCCCCTCCCTCCCCCGATCCCCCGCCCCCCCAGAGCTTTGCTGGCCAGTGTGTGCGTGTACATGGGCGACACATGCACCACCCTAGGATACGCCTTGCACCATGGCTTTACAGTTGCGTGGAAAGCGCGAAAGGGGTTTCAGTCGGTGGGCAAGCTGTATGAAACCTGGGTTTTCTCAATGCATGTGAAGAGCCCAAAGGAAAAGCGTACTTGTTGACAGCTCATGACATAGATGTCATAATGAGAATGTGTATATTCGGTCTCTTTCGGTAGTCGAATCTCGATATCTCCATGACGAAATTAATTCTGTTCCTTGATATCACGGTGTACGAAGCCGTAATCGTGGACGACTTTCACGCTGGAAATTACATGCTCCACGGTTCATCATAGCGAGTGGAACCTTTGGCGCCTCACCTGTACAGGCACTGTATAGCTATCCGTGTCCAGGTTTTTGCCGTCATATACTCCTTTGGACAACTCAGCTGTAATACGTCCTGTTAAAGGCTGAATTTCATGCGGTACTGATCAACTCTTTAATTCTTTTAAGTTTTCTCCGAGTAATGTCATAATCATATAACAAAATCGTCGCCGTTTAGCAGCATGGAATACCGTTGGTACGTGAGGTTTCTCGCCGTCAGCACCGATTGTTTTCATTACGTTCATCTGGAAAAATTTGTACTTCTACAGGCGCAGGTCGAGTTAGGGTGAAGAAGGGGGAAATTTTGCACGTTCGCTACTTCCTATTGTTCTACTAATTGCTTTTCAAGAATTGGTATTCTTTACAGGAGTTGACAAAGTTAGTGCAAGTGTTTTCATCAAGTTTGGAGTATCCATCATGACTCGTCAAAGATGTCGAACACTCTAACATGGTGTTCAACAAGACGTAGAAGAAGCGAAAGTGCGGGAATGCCCCTCGCATAGCCGAGCTGCGCAGTAGTATTGTCTTGTGTTATATTGTTGTCTACTTCGGTGCACGCATTCGATAAGTGGGGAAGTGCGAGCTTAATTTAGGTCTGTTGGCTATTTTGTTGACGTGTTGGATTCAAGCGCCCGACTGACGGCCACCTACGTATTTAGTGGTCGGCGTTTTCGTGAAAGCTCGGAACTAACGGGAAATGATGAATTGTCATGTCCGAGGGAACCTTTGGGAGTTCAGCCGTTGGGCAGGGGAAATGAAGATTATTATTAGCTTCGCGTCGAGCGATGTTGACAATAAACAAAAGGCACAGGTTTAGCAGACCGAGTTCTTGGTGGCGCTGCTCGGCGACGGGGTGGGGCACTTTGCACTTTTGCTGTTTCCCATCGACGTGTCGATCCATCTAGACAGCCTCTTCTCGAGTTGATGGCTTTTTCATGAGCGTTGACGAGTCTTGTGGCTCCAGGTGCAAGGAGAGTCACAGGTTACAACAAGAGTGAGAACTTTTAAACCGGAACTAGCGAAGGAAATTGGGAAATGCCCCCCCCCCAACCCCGTCGGTCGAACAACGGCCGCAGCTTGCGTGCTTCAATTTCATCAGGCGAATGGTGTTTGACCGAGTTTCGGTGGAAGACGCCTTATGAACCATGGTACACAGACAAACTGTCGTTTTGCCCGATCAGTGGCATCTGCTCGGCTAGACGTGTGTCTGGTCGGCGTACCGCGGCCCTGCGATGTGATAAATGGGCGGTGTTCGAGGACAAACTGTACTCGCATCTCTGAGGGTCCTGGTCTTTGCCAAGTGCGAGGTGAATTGGCACGCAGCTGCGTAGCGTGCACTTTTCTGTCAGAAGTCACGGGAACGGGCTTGGTAGTGATACTACTAGGTGCCAGTTCTCGAATTCGTCGCCACCGGCAAGGCAAGTATACGCCATAACTCCTCTGCTGGTACAAAGCGTTTGGCTGCGCACCGAACTTCCACTAATGGGCACCTTACAATGTGTGTCGCCATCGGTGTCGCCAATCTTTCATGCTCAAGCGTCACGTTCCCGTGGTTTTCGCGTGTGAACTATACCTTTAAAAGCCACGTGCAGCGGAGTCGAGACTGCGAGGAGTGTCAGATCACCTTTCGTCAGATTCCTGTGGCCGCGTGCAGGTCTTTCCAGCTTATTGGCTAACATCAGTATTTGTTTTTGGGAGAAAAGGCGAACGTCGAGTGTTGAAGCGCTGATCCGCCTTCGATGTCATTTGATTCTGCTTTCAACGCTGCGAACTTTTTGGTGAGCACGTTCTCGACCTGCAACAGATGTGTACATTAGAGGGAACGGCCCGCAATGACCTGTGAATGTGGAAAAGGTTATGTGGGAACTAGCGCGGTCCGCAGTGGACAACCTTGTGCCAGTCTCGCGGCGGAAAGTTGTACTGGTAAAGGAATTGAGGCGCAAAGTTGCTTCAGTGGTACATCCCTTTTTCCAGTGACTCCGCCTCCAAACTTGCGTATCTGAAGTCGCCTGCTAGGTAAAAGTAATGGCTCCCGGCAGGTAGCTTGGTGGATGCATTCACCTGTTGTGTAGAGTAATAGGGTTCATTACTGGGAATTGCCGACGAAACTCGTCCTAGCGTGCGGTCTTTTCGGTCTGTTACCCCTGCAATTGTTTAGGGTTGGAGGAGTCCTAATGAATGCGTTTCCAACGTTCCCTTTGGGATTTTCTCTTCACAGACGGTTCACTTGGCGAATTTCCTTCCATACTTCTACAACATCCCCTACACTCCTTATCGCGGATCGTGACTTCAAGTCTTGTTCAGACGCTGCGGCGTTAAAGGGGGGGGGGGGCGCCATTAAGTTCTAACCAGTTGCCAGCTTCCACAATTGGTGGGGAAAGGATTGCGCCGCGCCAAAGCCTGCCCCCTGGCACGCCCCGGCATCTGCAGCGAAAAACACCTGATTCTTCCTTGGCTGCCTACCGCTAAATTTTCCACCTACTGCTGTTGTCCTTCTCTATGTCTGCAAAGGCACGGGAACATTCGTCGATAAGGGGCGGCAAAGAGAAGCACCCCGGCGCTGCGTAGTCCGCGCCGACTTTGCCCTTATTCTCACATCTCTGCCTCCCTTTCGTCTGGACCGTCACCGCTCTTGTATGCACTTGCTGTGCCTTTTCTGTTTGCTGTTCCATTTATGAATTCAACATACTTTATAAACTTGTCCAAATCCTCCTTCATCTATTCGTTTTATAATCACCCAGTTTCCGAAGCTGAAAAGTTCAGAGCTAAGCTACAGTCTTGATGGCCGCGGATGATGGGGCGTGTCACTGGGGCCGGGTTCGGCGCGCCGCCAGCTCGTTCTTCACCAGTTGTTGAAGCGGGCAAGAGACAAAAATTGGTGGAAATTGACAGATACGAACGATATGATACAGAGCTGCGCCTTGCTTTGAGAAAGAGGGAACGAAACGGGCTGTTACGCGCTTCATCCATCTCTTTAGCACGCCCCACCATCTGCAACAAACAAGAGTGTAGGAATGAAATGTATCACTGTCTTCTATCACAATCACTCCCCTGGTCATGCTCTTTACAAACAAGCTCGTCTCCGTGATAGAACTTCTGCGAACACTAAGGGAGTTGAGCGGTCGTACTAGTCTCGACTGTTCGAGACTTGAAGAAACATTCTAGAGGGAGTGCGCTATCCGAACTGTCGGCTATCTTCACCGTACTTCTCCTTTAAAGACATTCTGCACATTCATCCTCTGTAGATCTTGGTCCTCCTGGGGTGAATGGGTCCGCATCTGCAGTAACGTGTCATTTTCTTCAGGCAAAAGTGCGTGGAATGGGCTATAGGGTATGCTACCCGAGTGCTTGTCTCTATACTCGGGCCGGCATCCTCAGGTGTACCTTGATGTTAAAGGTCGGTCGGCAAGACACGCACTCAGCGGGAGAGAACAACTGGAACTCGGAGAGTGCAGACAAGTGGCACGTTTGACTACAATAAGGCGTGCGGCTGGTCGTATGGCAGCGCGGGCCGAGTACGTAGAGAGCACTCGGGACCACTACCTCACAGCCCTGCTCCCGTGCACTTTTGACCGGAGAAAGTGGCAGCTGCGGGGCCATTCTCCCCACACACGATAAGGGCTAGGATCTACGGAAGCACGTGCGTCACTTCTGCTCAACCCTCTTGTTGTCCTTCTGCAGATCTTCTTTGAACTGACACACGGGCAAACGCACTCAAAAGCTCCTTTTCGCGGAAACTTTAGTTTCTGAGAACCCTTGGGATTCTGAAGGCCTTCTCAGTCTATCCGTACGGTTACTTCTGACGGTTACCCAGATGTGCGTCCAAACTCTCTCATGTGGGATCGTAGAACAAGAAAGCAGTGGACGTACCGTTTGCCTGGAGGAAACCGAGCAGCCGCTTGGTCATCGATCATAATGATCGTGACTATATTAAGAGGGAATGTGCTAAACAAATGAGGCATACTTCTACTCGGAGGAATCATTGTTTTTCTTGATCCGAATCAGTATCACGCGATCTAGCAGTGAGGCGATTGGGAAAACATCGGCATACAAAGGATCTTACTGAAAGTAATCCGCTAAGTATGTCTGTCCGTGCGTATGTCTGTCACAGACTTCACAGCGCCCGTCCTAGTGGCACTGGACGTTGCTTACAAGGAAAGATGTAAGGTCTGTAGGGGTCGTGATGAGTGGGTGAGAGGGAGTGATATTAGTTCATAACATTTCAAAGAGGTGTCAGAACGAGGGGTTCTTCATAGCGTCACTCCAATGTGACGTTGGCAAGAGCTGATATAAGGGCCGTGGCGCTAGCATGGGTGACAGGAAATAAGACCAGCTAATACGATTTGATAAGAGGGGGGAGTGGGAGGCGGGTGTTAGGAGGGGAGGATTTCCAAATTTATAGAGCCGTCTTGTGGCAAGATTTTTGTCCCATGAACTAATTTAGGTGTTAAGACGGGAACATTACATCCGCTCGTCCCGAAACCTCCTTGCACCCGCGCCACAGGCGCTGGCGCCAAAATACCCCAAATCACCGGCCTCTGTGGCGCGGGCACTAGGTTTCGGGACGAGCGGATGTGATATTCGTGTTCAGGAGGTCAGGCTGCCCTGGGAACAAGTTTTCAGCAAATTTGGTGATTAGGGTATTTTGGCGCCGGCGCCTGTGGCGCGGGCGCCAGGAGGTTTCGTGCCGAGCGGATGTGATATTCGTATTCAGGAGGTCAAACTACCCCAGGAGACAACATTTGAGCCAAATCTGCCGGAGAAAAAAGTCGGTCAAAAACTGGCTCAATTCTGGATGGTTGGGGCAGTAGAGGGTGAATAATGCCATAACTGTTTTTCACCAACAACAGTACTGTATTGGGCTCCCGCTTAAGTTATGGAGGTGTTTTTGCGGCCAGTTCAAAGTAAAAAACCATGTAAAGGGAAGATCTCGGACGCATTCGGAGGACATATTGTCCCAACGATTACTTTGATTTACTGGAGGCTGTGGTGCACACGAAGTTAGTTGTTCCTATCAGCTGTGAGCGGGCAAGCGTAGTGTCCCACTGTCGCTTGCCCGCTCTCACAACTGATAGGAAATGGGCTGGATGGGCAGGCGTCACGCCAGTTTCACCTCTCCCCACTTCTGACACCCTAATCGTCTGCAGCAAAAGCGACTGTACGTATGTGCACCACGAAATTCGCAGCAACTGTGGGATGTTAGTCCCCAAATGTGTTTCGGGAATAGGACGAAAAGACGATTGGC